AGAGAACAAATTCCCGCCATAACTTTTCCCAGCCACGTGACCGGCAGCATGTCTCCATATCCTAGCGTTGTCATGGTAACTAAAATGAACCAGAATCCTTCGGGGATGCTTTTGAAGTCTGTCACGGGTGCCTTCATGAGTTTCTCCGCGTAGAACATGAACGTCGAGAACATGACCACGGCGAGCATGAAGGACAAGAGGAGGAAGCCTAGCTCGTCTACGCAACTTTTTATAGTCTGAGCCAAAATCCGTAGTCCCTGTGACGGTCTGCTTATTTTGAAGACCCGAAAAACGCGCAAGATTCTTAGTGTGACAAAGAGCGAGTCAAAGCCACCGTGCTCTGTTTTGGAAGACATTAAAAACAACCCGATGTAGTAGGGTAAGATTGCCACCAAGTCTACCAGTCCCATTGGACTCCTGACGAATCGGACCCTGTCTGGAGTCGAGTACAGTCTCGTCACGTACTCCACTGTAAACATCACCACGCACACTGTGTCGATGGTAAAGAAAACCTTCGGGTACCTATCTGCACAATGGAGGATCTTTGTGGTCCCAGGCAGGGCCCCACATTGAATCGTTTCTGCAATGTTGGCCAGAACTGACACTGCTATAAAGAATCCTGTGGTATAGTAACACAGGGGGGCCAAGGGGTGGCCCGACTCGTTCGAACCGTCTAGAATGCTCCACATCTTCTGCCGCAAGGTCGTGGCTTTCGTGGGCACGTTAAGTACGGGCAACAGAAGCTCCTGTAGCTGTTCATGTCTTTGCTTCTTGTGCTCACTGTAGTCTTCGTAGCAGCATTCACTGATGGAAAATTCAGAGAGACCGAAGAACTTCAGTTCGGCGTCGTATGCATCTATGCACTCGCACTTAGGGTAGTGTAGCTGACCCGTTCGGTAATAATTCAAAATATACCTGAAAATCTCAGGGTCCCTGTTAAAGTGGTATTCCTTGGTGTCGTCGTCGAAGTAAGCCTCTTTCTCCGTGCTTCCCAGAAAAGTGTCCGGTAATTTGTCCAGCGTGCTCTTCCATGTCTCGAAGCGGCGACCGCTCACGTTAAAGACAAGTCGGACATCTCCAAGTAACCTGGGTTTTATCCTCGGTGGGGGAGCGATGCTCCGCTGAGGACTGGGCTGGGTCTTCTCCCCTAGGTCCGAGCCAAACTTGCTGAATTTCCGAAGGAAAGCGCTCAAGCTGGGACTTCTCTGTTCCGGTTCGTCCGGGCTGGGCTTGGAGCTCAGCTTGGCGAGAAGGAAGGCACGACGAGGGTTGTTTTCTCGTGTTAGCGAGATGGGTCTAGGAGAGGCAAGAGCATCAGCCATGCTGTTACCGTCGCCATTATCCCCACGTCCTACGTCAGCTCGGAGGGGGGGCGCCAGGGATGTGGCCAGCGCATCCAATGTCACCACATCGCGCACAGCCCGGGCGGAAGCACAGCTTAAACAATGTAACTATTTCACTTCTGATCAATGCAACATAATTAGGTCAAGACCTCCAACGATTTTCCCTCCAGTGTGCTGGAGTCTGCAGCGTCTTGAAGGAAGCGGCGCAGCTCCAATATCAGGCTCCAGCTACCCGCTGGTTCCTCAGCCGTAATTAATGTCCGCTATATCGGCAATATTGACTCTTGCACCCCAACTTACCAACAGCCAGCTTACTTGGTAAACAGGAGTGTCACAGCCCGGCAAGGCTTATCGAAGATCCTGCCTCCATCCCTGTCTGCCGTGCGGCCTGCTACATGGGTGCGCCGGCTCCCAACCACTTTCCTCGTCATTACAAATTGTAATGACTCCTGTGCAGATCGGTCATATTGACTTTTTTGCCCTGTCGCTTTCCACAGGCGCCAGCAGCCGCGTCTGCCCAGAAAAATCCATCTGACAAAATATTTTATAACGTTCAGCTGAATATTGCATTTCCCGTATCTGACGCTGCTTTCTGTATATTATCATATACTCTTCTTTGGTAGGTCAACAAATCATGTTCGCGTCGTGAGGAAACTAAATTACTTTGTATTGTGTTCTGTGAAGTTGCTATTAACGCAATCTTTGTTATTAACGCAATCTTTTTACGGCATGAGATATATGTCGAGATAGAATTGTGCATATTTAATCCACTCCACTTCAAAAGACTGTATGGTATTGTTTATGTCTCTCTCTCTCCACACACAAACACACACACACACACACATACATACGCACGCACACACACACACACTATATATATACACATACATACATACATACATACAGACACACATGCTCGCATGCACGCACACACACACTACATACAAACATACACGAACACACACACACACACATACACACACACACATACACACATTCACCGGCGAAAAGACTGGTGAACACACAAACTCTAGCGAACACACTATAGCGCAAACACACATACGCACACAAACATGCACACCTACTTGAAGACTTAGTGGAAGATAAAACGCATTAAAAAATTCCCTTTCTGACGCAAGAATGGATGGTCCCATTTTAACGAGTCGTCAGCTGGTAAACAGCCGCATTTAGAACATGTCGGATTACGGGGATCTCCGCCATTTCCTACAAATTACGGAGAGAGATGCGGATGTCAGCACAGTCTAACTGTTGCCGGGGGAACAGTGACAATTAGATGTTCTAAAGTTGACGTCAACAAGAGCTACTGTGTTCACCAATAACACTCGGGACCATACGTTAACAACCGTTAGGGGGGCTGGCAATGCCATGCTCGTACAGAGCCTTACACATGTACTGAGACAAGTGACAGCAGAACGCATCTGTAATATTTCACCTAGAGCGGCGTAGCAAAGGGACAGAAATAAGCCCAGAGTTTAACAACACTGCCCTTTCCTAGTCCTACTGTTTGCCCCGCTATGATAGAGAAAGAAACAACATAAGCTGACAGCACCGAGCAGCCATCGCGTCTGGACGGTAATGTCACTGAGTAATTCAACTATGCGCCAGGGAACATTTCTGTGGTCATATCAGCAGTCAGCGTCGGGGTTGAAATATTTATGTGCATTTCAACAGTTCGGACGCCTTGCCTGCCGAGGAATAGCTCTCCGTCACTATATATTCCAGGCATGTCCAACGAAAACGAATGACTTGCGATTCAACTCGCCACACGAGGGGGAGTTGTTTTCAATTCACGTACTGGTATGCAGAGACGGATAAGGACGCTGGCATTCGTTTAAAGAATGTCTCCCGTTAAACTCGGAGGCCCTGTGGTAAAAGGACGCCTTAGTCTAAAGTGCGCAACACAAGCTTATCGGCGCTAACAATGATTGCGCGTCGTGCTCGAACATGGACAGTTGTTGAATAATGCAGCACATTCCGGGGAAGCTGTTTAGCGTTGGTTAGGAGGGCGGGAGATGCCGTGCGGTAATGATTCCAGGCAACACGTGATGGAGGGTTACGGGTACAGGGTTTCTAAGTTAATGGAACGTAGCACAGGAATAACGACATGTCAATCACGTGTACGCAGAGGGCATTTTTAAAGGGGCTGCACTACAACACTCTACGCACCTGTTTGGGGCAAGGAGCTTTAAAACACATCAAAGGCTCATTGCTTAGCCTTTGGGGCTATTGGCAAATTATCTATGTCTCCCACCGCTACTGTTAAATTATTTAAATTCAGTCCTTTTTTTTCCGGTTATTCTACTACCGAACACAAAGAAACGCTGGTAGAAGCAGTACCTCATTTGTAGAGGCATATCTATGAGAAAAGCTTCGCGTGTTTCAGTGCAACAGACAACAATTCTACTTCAGCACCAAGGACAGAGTATGGAAACTCTTAATATATATATGGGACGCGAATTCCCACTCTACGCTTTTACATTCGCCCGCATCTGTGTGATTTGAAGTGAACTATCTTCAATCACAACACAGAAAAGCTTCTATCCATCAAACGTGTTGCAGATATGTTTGGATCCGTTGTATGGGTGTTTGCGGTCACGTGACTATGACGTATTATCTGCCATGTTGGACGGTTAAACTGGGAAGTCTACGGGTGAACTTAAATTTGCATATGTAATTACAATCACGCAATTATTTTTATGTAAGAACGTGCAAGTTTAAACAGGGCTGGATTTACCTGGTTCAACTAACCTCCCGTTACATCATCATTTGCTGGCAATGGAGCCACCTTGCTAGTGATGAAACTCTAATGGCGCCTAGTTAATATTCACAGCGACCAAGTCATCTTCAACTGCTTCTGGGTTCCTTTGATCCAGCCGCCTCTTCATTCCGAGCTAAAGCTTACATGAGGATTAACTGGCTGTTCGTGTTATGTTGTAAAATCATGGAAAGTTATATTCCTAAGTAAGATGTAAACAACGGAGAGTGAATCCTGCACATTCTGTACGGAAATATTAGATTAGTAGTTAAAAGGTGGAATTAGCAAGTCACTTGAAACGCAATCTGTAGGTACATGTATTATTGAGCACACACTCATAAATCCTTTATTTCATGTATGAATATGTTCTGTACTAATAAACAATATCCCCTTTCCTTAACCTATTTTTCTTGTGACAGGGGTCATCATGTGAAAATTAACAAACCAAACTTCAAGAGACTGTGGGTCAGACTCAGTACTGGACCTACTTAGTGGTTGTACACGTGAAGCATAAGACAAACTGGGAAGAGTTTTTTAAGGACACTTTTGAGGTTCTGTGCTTGAGGAGAACCACACCATACTTTGATAAGTAGGAGTCTGTCATATTGTCAGTGTATCAAAATGATCAATCAATGAGTTACACCTTGAATGGATTGTGCAATACAAATAAAATGCCTGAAGAATTCAAAATCAGTGCCACATGAAAATTCTGGCTAATATTTTATAATGTAATATTGTTATTCAACTATGTTATTAATTGATGTTTTAATGCATGTATTTAAGCAAGAGGACTCCAGGAAGAGTAGAGGGTGTATTGTCAGTACTAATGGAGATTCCTGCATAAACAACTGGCAGAGCTCTTTATCCAGACTCTACTGCTTGTTGTGAGCATTCACAATCTTACACTTTGTACAAAATGCATGCCTAATACACTCTGATGTCCTTAACCTTTATAAAGCATTCCTAGTTAGGTAACTGTGCCAGTGCATAATTAGCTACCTGTCTTGAAGGCTGACCCTGCGTGGGTTGAGGTCACACAGTGATGCTGCATGTCCCTGCCCTCTGACCATCTGTCAATCATCATCAACAACCCAGCGGCCTATTGGATATTTGGTTAAGCAGCCCATTGAGGTGGCAGACAGAGTATATCGGTAATAGGGATTTCTATAATGAAGGGCCCCAACCCGATTAACTGTGGCATGCATACCTCCATTAACTTTTACAATGGACAAATCCCGGTGCATATGGCATCAGTGATCAGTATAGATGAACCCTCTTGAGGGTTTATAGTGGCCTCCTTTGTACCCAGAGTAGTTTCCCTTTAACTATGTACAGTATTCTGATTATGTACAATGATTGTGTACCCGGTTATGATGTTCTGCCTGGATAACTGTCGGTCTCCTCAAGCAGTTAGAAAACTTAACTACCCGGTAGGCATTGTTGGAAAATAAACTCAGTGGGGTCTGCAACAGAGGGTATACCTGTAGGTTTATAGAGGGATCAAGTCATGGACCAAAGAGTGGTCTTCTTGTCTTGTTTGTAATGTTTCATTTTACAATGAAAAATTACATTTTACAGCAAATGTGCCCTTGGGAAAAGCATGTGTACTATGTTATAAGCATACATCAATTTCCACACTCCAGAAGAGCCACACACGGAGCATGTTAAAGAACCCAACACACTTATTAAAAATAATAAGAGTAGGGCTTCTTCCCAATATGAGTGGATCAAACCTATCAATTTGGTCTTATACAGCTTGTACTTGACGTTCAAAACAGGTGTGTTGTGGACACATGGACAAACATCTATATGTAAGGAGCCTTACAGTAACTACTTGACAGGTACTCTGGAGTTGTACACTTTGGTCCCATCTGGTAGTGTTGAAGCTCGGGCAAATTTAGTCAGAAGGGATCCGACCGTCTGTTTTTGCTCACACAGATCCCTGTGTGGAAAACAAAGTAAAGAATGGGATAAAAGATTATGGACTGCACCAAGGATAAGTGTGATCAATACTGGTCATTGAAAACTGGAAGTAATTCTTTCTGATGTATCTTTAACAACTTTAAAAAAATGTCTTGACAAAATACATGTACTTCAATGTATCTCAATTGCAGTGTTGGCAAGGAGAATGAGTAGAAAGCTACCAAATGGAACAGACAGCCAAGAAAAAAAGAGTTGCCAACCTTATGTATGGGGAGATGTCTTCTAAAGTCCACTTCTCTCGAGTGCGGAACAACCTGTTGAACCTAGAAGAGCAACAGTGAGTAATGTACAGGGGGTGTTAGAAAATCTGTATGCTTGTTTGTATAATTTTAACATCATTTAGAAATACTATACATGTATCACAAAATTCACAAACCTGTTGGAAGAAGCCAATATATCTTGCTACTGTGAACATAAGGTGAATTACACTTTACAGTATCATAAGATCTATAGACTCTTGTTCTTTTTGATAGGAAAATCTGTTTTATATGATGGAGGAAAGACAGTAACATGAAATACACAGCCCAACAGTTACCTGTCTGAAGCATCCTCTGGCAAGTCTGTCACTGGGAAGTGGGAGATCACCTGTGGATGGCTCTTCTTGTCAATCAGCGCTACTCCCTGTGGAGAAAGGTTCTATCTGTCAATAACAATAAAAAGTGACAAGCAAATAAAAATAACGAGCTAACAGCAAGCAATAGTTATCACCATCATAGCACAAGACATATCTATTCACTGAAAAAGAAATACTGGGTCAATGTGTAATCTTGTGTACCCAGAATTATAGCTGTGTACAAATGTACCTAATTTTTGTTGATATTTGTGTAGGGTTTTGTACATAACATTGTACATAGAATGCTGCATACTCTTCAAACTAAGTGTCAGAAAAATGATGATACCTTTGAAGTATTGAAGGTAACTATTGAATTTTAGATTTAAGAGAGGCAGTAAGGTTTTTCTGATGTTCTACTTTATTTCATGTTGTGCATGCAACTTTTTGTGTACCTAAATCTTTGCTTTAGGTGTACCAGTGCACCTATTCCCAAATACAAATGCATGGATGTCACACCCTGATGTACTATGCCTATATAGCATTCTGTCCACCTACCTCTAACTGTTGGAGGTTGGTTGTCATGCCGACAGGAACACTCTCCTTCCATGTCTGTAGGAACTCGGCCAGGTTGAACTTCCCCACCCCCTTCAGCAGGTACTCCGCAAAGTAACCACACACCCTGTCCTCACTCAGCACGTGGACCTGCTCTGCACCTGGGTTTGTTTGTTTGTTTGTTTTCTTGTTCAACAGCAAGTCTTTTAACTTTAACTCCTGCATATGAAAATTTCCTTAGGAGTGAAACTTGGGCCCCCACCCCCACAGATCTCCAGCAATTATGCCACAACTACAGACTATTATTAGAAGATCTCTGGTGTCAAACTCCAGGATGAGCTACCCTTAACTGTACTACATGTACATGGGTTGTTTGCTTATTTTATTTCATCACATAAACATATCACCTACTGGCGTTTTTCAATGTGCTCTGGGGGAACCCCAAACATAAATTATCCACATCAAATAGATCATCAAAAATGAGCTAACAAAAGGTTCATGCTTATCATAAGTCGATACGAGACTAAAGTTACTTACTCGATACAAAAACAAAGCGGCCTAAAGTTGTTTGCTAAACTTGGTGTAAAGAACATCACCACAAACATAACAATCTACAGTCTCATTTCATTGCATCGAAAAATGAAGTGCTCAAGGATATATTATTCTGTTTAGACTCACCTCCATGAAATTCCATCATTTTCCTGTCTCCATAGCAGTCCAGACAGTGCTCAAGTAGAACTCTGTGTGGGAAGATATTATTACTATTAGCAGAAATTCAGATCTTACAATATAGAAACAAGATGCATGTTTCTACTCTGCTACTAGAGAACAATTTTTGCAACAGACTATGGAAGAAACAACAACAATGGTCTAAAAATTTAAAATGCGTTTTTGGATAGGAGACATGATAACAGTACATGTACGTGAAGAATATTGGTCCATCTAAAAGACCATCCCATACTATCAGGTTCCATACCTTGGATAAACGTTGTCTTCCATCCCAAGCAGCTTGTCTGTAGGGATCTGGTCGTAGGGCCAGGACTGACAGTCCACCGTGTCTATGATATACTGCAGCACGTTTCCCATGTAGTCAAAGTCAACTAGTCTCCAGTAACCTGGGGTTTATCAATGTGGAATTAGGGTGATGTTGAAATGTCAATTTTCAATCAACATGTTGATTTTGAAAGGAAATGTGACATCATGATGGAAATGTTCTAAAATGCGTTAATAAGAAACCCAACATCAAAATAAGATTTGTCCCTAACTGGTACCATTAAGGTTGAAGAACTCATCTTGATGAAGAAAAACTTACCATCGATGTGAACAGCCTGCAGTTTCCTTAGTTCTTCCAACAACTCTTTCTCACTAGCCTGGATGAGACTGTGGAGGTCTGTAGTGGTGTACTGATGGGAGGGAGGGCAAAATGGTATCATGTGAACATTATGTCATGTTGGGGCACAGATTTAATAAAATGTGAGCATCTACATTGTCTTTATATTGTGTTATGCAGTCAACTTAATATTGAGTCTTCTAGTTTAGTGAGAAGTAGAAGATTCCTGACCTTTCTTCCTGTGTGCTTTTCGTCTGATTCATACTCTGGTCCTGTGAAGACATTTTCTTGCAGCAGCGTCTGTAACTTCTTTAACTTGGGCCTGCACTTCTTCAGCTCCAGGTACACGTGTGAGATGCAGTAGACCTGGTACAGAACAGATACAGGAGTGAAATCTGCCCTAGAGCAGCAGAGACACATGGTATTTATCTACAAGTGTAGCTTTCCTTCCTAGTGTGAATGGGTCAAACCTATCAGTCTTAACTTCCACAGCTTGTTTTAGTTAAAACTATCTGTACAAAACTGGTGTGTTATGCCTTAAGGGGGCACTCCTCAGTCTCAATTTGATTCTACATACAATCAAGTCTAGCGACTGTCTCCTTCAGGAAGTAATTCTGAACGAAAAACACTGTGTATGGGAATGAAAGATACACAAGAACAACAGAATTTCACTTTCGGTAACCTCTCAAAAGTTAGTAAATTTTAGTGGGGGAAAACATTTTCCGATAAAAAATTATGCAAAAAATTGGCCATTTTCAGATTTCAACCTGAACCCTCGGAACCCTTTTGTCACGTTGTTACAGTGCACTACCACGGACCCCTATCACAAAAGAATTAGTGTGTGCACCATTGAGGCTGTTACCAGTTGTTGAGTAATAAAATTTAAACTTACCTCCTTATGTAGTAGACAGCCGTCCCCACCCACAAGTTGTTCCGGTGCCCTGCAGTCAGGCAGTAACAACAGACTGTTGGTGGTCTGTGTAGACTTCAGTTCAAACGTGCTGTCCTCTGTACACACCACCGCCATGTCAGACTTGTCCCCTCGCACCATCAGACTGAAGAAAAAGAACCAGAATTATTCTGGTGAGCTAACTTTCTTTTGTGCAAGTTGTAAAGAATAAAAAGTCTCAAATTCATATGTTAAATGGGCTCCATGTAGGACTTAGAATGAAGTAAATTTTCTGGTCACTCACTTGTAGCAATACTATACAAAAAAAGTGACAAGAACAAGGTCTATCAAACCTGATAAAATTGGTCATAATACAATGTTTATATGATGATATTCAAGCATTTAACAGCGATATTGTGATGTTATTCCACCGTATAAATTATTAACGTTATATACATATACATAACATGAAAGATCTTTCAAAATGTTGCAAATGCACTGTTTACAGGCTAGGGTTTATTTTGGGTGTCATAAAAACTGAGGTACAAATAGAAGTGATATGTGAATTATAAAAAAACCCTAAGAAACTGGCCGAGCTTTCTGACGAGGCTTTAAGTCTACCACTCCAGTCTCACCTGTTGCCAGCCTCCAGATGCTTGACCATGCTGCTGTCCAGCTCCAGGAGTCTGACCTCGTGGTCAGCCATGTCCGGACTCAGGTACAGGGACTGGACACTGCTGTTCAGGTCAGTCAGGTCCAGTTTGGCCTGCTCCGCTAAGGACAGGGTCTCCTGTAGGGTTCTATATGGGGAAAAACAGAGGAGTTGACCAAGGGAAGTTAATCATGTCTGTTTCAATGCATGCAAATATTTGCCGATTGTTACATTCCAACGTTGACAGTTAGATATGAATAATTATGTGCGACCAGTTCATAGTCCCCTCCTTGTTAGTTTCCTCCTGTCAATCAAAACGTAGTATTGTAACATATTTCGGGGGTCTCCCCAGAAATTTTTGGGGAAAGGTATCTGTATCTCCCTGTATCTGTACCTGTAACGTTATCTGTATAGCCGGTAAAGCCGCCCTTCAGCGTAACACACAAGCTCATCGAATTTTCATGAAAATACCTTAAGATCAGTAATAAAAAACCCTAAATTGGAACATTTTGGGAGAGGGAGTGCACCCTTACTTCATTCTGGGGAAACTGTGTAGCCCCCCCTCCCCCCTTGCCAAATCACCCAAATCCCTAAACTCCAACACACATTGGACACTTGGACGTATGTGTAATAAGTCCATCATATCTATAGGTCGTGGTTACACGAAAGATCGTGACTGAACTGCGCAAATGTAGGCAAACACCGTTCAACGTTTAGCCCAAATCACGCGAACTACCTCACCTCGATTTTCCCGCCATGTTACTGGTGACCTCTGACCCTAAGAAACTTACCTCCCGAAAGTAAATCATAAGTATGTGTGACAATAGGGAACAAATACGTTTTATTATTTTTCTGTACAAAAATAAATGTTGATTAGCAGGCCGGTGACGTAAAAATTGGAAGAAATGAAAGTTTTTGCACACATCGACGGCACGCTAATGATCGACCAATCAGCAGCCAGGACCAAATGTAAACATCCAAGATGGAGGAAGATGTGAGAAACTTGGTGCCAACTTTCGGAGAAAAGGCACGAGCCCTGCTCGTTGCCGAGAAGTTAAGGTACCGTTTCGTTCCACCTCTCTTAAGGAATTAATTTGGCAGTTTCGTGTGATTTTTCGGCGCGTTTGAGATGCAGGGTAACGAGATAGATCCATGAAACAGTCAGATCCATGAAACAGTCTGCATGCGTATAGCGTATATCATGATGACGTGCATGGAAGCGTGTACGCAGAACAAAATATTTAGGTCAAAGACCATGTTTTTGTTTGTACATGTACAGTTTGTACAAGAATTATTGATCGTGTTTGTTTCACTGAATGTACCAATTATTGGTTCTGCCAATATTTCCATAGTACATGAGTTCCACCGATTTCGTGAACTTACAAATCACAAATATGTGATAAATGTCCTACGTGCAAAGTATCATGTCCTTCCAGATATGCACCAATTAATCAACGTAGCTGTACTGAGTCATTCACCAAGAACGCCGTGTTCCGTTAGCCATGTTGTTGTTGTTGTTGTTGTTGTTGTTGTTGTTGTTGTGTGTGTGTGTGTGTGTGTGTGTGTGTGTGTGTGTGTGTGTGTGTGTGTGTGTGTGTGTGTGTGTGTGTGTGTGTGTGTGTGTGTGTGTCTGTGTGTGTGTGTGTGTGTGTCTGTGTGTGTCTGTGTGTGTGTGTGAGTGAGTGTGTGTGTGTCAGATTACTTTGTTGTTTATATAGCTCCCAAGGTCAGGTTGAAGTAATGACAGGCTGGGCCCCTAGCAGCTCTCTTTGGTACTGCAAGCAGGTGTTTTTTTTGGAGAGATTTGAATAGGATTAGTCAAGATGTTACAATTATATATGTATTGGAGGGGGCCTTGATTCACCACTGATTCCCTCGTCTCAGTTCATGACCTTCCACAAGTCTAGTACATACTGTGAACAGGCTTATTTTTTCTGAGGACCTCAGTTCATTTTCAATTGTCACCAGGGAGACCATGCACCAGGGAAAACCAGTCCTGATCAAGAACCGCAACTACCACCTGAGGACCTACAACAACTGCTTCGTGGGGTCAGAGGTTGTGGACTGGCTGCTACGGCAGGGGGAGGTGCCTGATCGGAACACAGCGGTGCAGTGTATGCGCAAACTTCAGAGCTTTAACATCATTCACCATGGTACGCTTGACTTACAAGTGTTTGAAACTTTGAGCATGTCTGTTTTTACTCACAAGCTATAGAACAATTTTTTCTTGTATCAAATAGTCAACAATAATGTTTGTTTTTTCTCATTATTGACGATGCATTATATTTTCACTTCTGATCAACTTTTGTTTGGTTTTATTTGGCATATTTTTAACCAAGTTGACCTATCACCCACCCACCCTACCACATACAGTATGTGATGACCACTTGTTCAAGGATGCCATGTTGTTTTATCGCTTCCGGAAGGACGACGGCACCTTTCCTATGGACAAGGACTCTTCTATCTTGTTCCGAGGAAAGATGATGTATCACAGGTAAACTCCTGCTAAGGCCACACCAATTTAATTTCTTGGTTAACGGATTCGCCGCTTCATTTTTTTCTGATTTGCAAATAAAAATAAAAATCCAGAATCAACTGCAAAATGCTCATATTTTGCCCTGAGCTGTTGAAAACAGTCCTTTTCTTACTACTTGTTACAGTCATTCCATCTTTCAATGCAGTGCTACCATTAAAAGCTCAAAATTCATTGTTCAAATTTTGAACCAGCCTGGTGTGTTGACTTCATGGCTCCTATCGTACCATTTTGGGCCATAATAGGATGCCTAGGCCTGTTTTTATTTTTGTTTTTTTTCGCCCGCCCGCTTCATTATTTTTCTAGAAAAATCCGTTAACCAAGAAATTTAATTGGTGTGGCCTAAGGCCTAAGAAAAAATGTTGTTTCCTGTTTCCCGACCAATCCTAGAAAAAAATGCTGACCCTAGCCTTTTTTTGGGTGGTCCCCTGCAAGGGACATAAAGTTTTGAGCTGATCAAACTGTTTATTTGTTTGTTTATTTGCACAACAGCAATAAAAATTATACATAATACACTAATAACAAATAAAACAGGTGCAGGAGGAGGGAAAAAGCTTATTTAGCTTATGCTAAGCCCTCCTCCTCTATACTAACCAAAACTAAACATAATTGAATTAATTACAAAATTAATTAACAACTGAAATAGTGCTAACAAATCAAATGATAATAATAAATAACAATAGGTAATTAATAAATTTGATCAATATGATCAAAATGATGATAGTAACAAAACAAATAGTAACATGAATAACAAAAGTGATTGATAAATAACGCTAATTAGAAATGATATGTTAAAAACTATAACTTTAACGTTAACAGAACTTTAACTGCAATACAGACATTGGCAGAATTGAAGCAATAACTCAAGAAAATAAATGAATTTTAAAGAGAAACGGAGATTCAAACTTATACAGATAAAATCAAAGTAATAAGAAATCAAATGTCGGTGGAAAAGAAAAGTAGGTGATTTTTAAGATTTCGTTTAAAGCTAATTATTGATGTTAAACATTTTAGGTGGAGCGGGAGATTATTCCAAGTAGTTATACATTTATATTTATATTTATATAGCTGATCAAACTTTTCTAGCTCCATCAGTTTTCCAACATTGACATTGAAAATATAAGTGTCCTCTTGCAAGTTCTACTGTGTTAAACTGTATTGCATAAGTTGGATTACTAGAGATCGCCAAAGTCTAATAAAAAAAGAAAGAAAAAGATGTATAATCCCTACCTACCAGCCTTGATTTTTTCAGGACTGAAATAGAAAATACAACATTTTTTCCTAGGCCTTACAGCAATAATAATCATAAGAAAAGCTTTGTGCTACATTTCAGTAGAAGATGACTACTAGTAATTTATGTTTGCATTATCTTCTTAAGCATTTTTCTTTGTACACCTGGTACAATGGTGATAGTGATTACACAGTAAACTTAATTGTCTTTTTATTTGTCCATGGTTTGTTTGTTGTTGTCCCAGTCTGAAGACGTCCAAAGGCCAGTCTGTACTCGGGGTGAAGACTCACAACAACCTGCAGTACCTGGACGCCTTCCTAGGGGTGGACATGCTGACCTGGCTGGTGAAGGAGAAGGAGGTGCAGAGTAGGCACGAAGCTGTGTCTATATGCAGGGAAATGTTGGAGAGGAACATTATCAGGCATGGTAGGTCACGTTTAGAGAGGTTTAGCAACATGTAAACTGTGGAGACTTAATAGTACTTAGTTTGAGCTCCCACTTGCACCAATCCAAAAAGCCTCCTCCATAGCACTTTGTCCACTATGGCCCTTCGTAGCTCGTTGGTACATGTATCACAACGTAGGTTGTCTAAATGGGTGAGTCTAGGTCTTCCCCTACCTTTTTTTTCCTTTAACAGTAGGCTCCCTGAGAACAAGATGGAATGCAGGAATGGTGGAGAGGAACATGGGGTAGAATAGGTATAAGGCAGTGGCCATCCTTGATCCCTTTGGCCACACATTGTGTAAGCACTACAGCAGGGGGCTAATCTGTTGATAGCTTTTAATATATTCGTCTATAGGAAAAAGTATTTCCAGTTTTTAGAAGCAAGCAAAATAGTGGTCTTTCTTCATGAGAAGTCTGTTGTGCTGTTTCCAGTAAGCGACGACCACCACTTCAAAGACGGGCAGTACCTGTACCAGTTCAAACAGGATTTCACCAGACAGTACCGGCTGTCGGAGGTGCTGACTCCGGTGGAACCCATCCTCCCGCGCTCCCCCTCCCGCCGAGGCAGCGTGAGCAGCGAGAGAACAAACTCCACCTCGTCTGTGGGTACGTCATCAATACGCAATGCAGCCATATTGAATAAACCATTCATTCATTAAGTCATGGCCAGAGATATCAATGGTAATCTTGTAATCTGGGGAAAGAGGAGAAAAGTGAATTTTGTCATTGAACATTCAAGGATAACTTAGGCCATTCCGAGGTAACTTGTTGCTACATGTAATTGGATATACAATGTAAAAGATGCTGTTAGCTGGAAGGACATAAAAACAGGGTCTGAGGGAAAAGCCTTAACATTGCGCACACAATTTCACAGAGTGCATATATTCATCAGCCCATTGTTTTCACCTTCACTTATTGCAGCTAAATTTTACCTTGAACCAAGAGTAAGAATTAGTGTTACCCCAGGTTGTGTTGTGTTGAGAAAGGAAAGCCTTAAGGGGGCAAATTGGGGAAGTTTTTCTCATCCACTTTGACTGTTGACTGAATTTTTTTTGCTTCATCTTTGACAGGTACACCAAAGAAAGCCTCTTTTTTCATTGGTGCTGATGAGGATGAGAGTAAAGAGAGATCAGGGTCCTTTGGAAGCCCCGGTGCTGGCAATTCATCTGGTTAGTACAACTGTAAAATTAAAAAAATTGTGGTTTCTGAATTTTGAGATAATATACAGAAAATAGTCATGTTTTAACATAGTTAAAACTATGTACAGAATGTATTTAAGACTAATGACAGAAGACCTATTAATTCTCTCTCTTTGTTGTCTCCCAGTTCTGCTGCGACCAGTGACTTTAGATGAGCTGAGGAACAACCAGGGGAGGTACACTCAGAAACACATCAGGGTAAGGATCAGACACATGACAATAGAGATGGACTGTGAAGGATTTGGGACACTTATTCCAGAGCTGCAAAATTTAATTAAGAGTCCCTGCTGAGGAAAAAAAGTTACCATGTTTTTTGCATCACAAGAAAGTAGTGCAAAAATGTAGCAGAGCATTAGAATAATTCATTGCTTTTTCTCTGTTGGGTTGTTTATACTCTCTAAAGAATGAAGCATTGTCACCATAGCAATGAAAGAGCAACTTGAACATGTTCAGATTCCTTTTGCAAAGTAGAAAAATTTTAGATGATTTTTTTCTTTACATTTTTTAGTCAATTTGATTTGATGAATAAGACAAATTAACTGACATAAAGTATTAAAATATGATGCACCCTTATATGCAGATACACATGCGCAATTTAAGTAAGATAAAAGCAAAAACTGGAAAGTAACATTGTGTTTCTTGGTTTACAGATTGTGAGTGATGCTGTAGGTTATGGGATGGTGGTGAGAGGGAACGGCCCAACCTACATCCAGACAGTGGACCCGGGTGGTCCCGCTGCTGCAGCTGGCATCAAGGTACGTGTTCCCCAGTGTCAGGAGCTAGGTTATTGATTCTATTCTCTTATTTCAATCAGCACTCTTAGATGGATGTTAAATCTTCATTATGTAGCATTAGGACAATACGAAAAGTAAATCCTCTGGTCATTTTTTTTATGCAGTAGGTTGCAACCCTATGCTATTGCAACTAAGTGTCATTCAGGAAGTGGAGGTGCCAAAATATGACGCCTTACCAGTGTATTTAAAAGTTGGAAGCACAGCTGTCAGCCATGTTTGTTTACATTCTGGTAGTTAAAGGTGGCACCACAAACTGAGTGCACCTTGCGTGGGCTGGTTTGACGCCAACCTGAAATATGAGATAATTATTGCGCAAATATGTTGAAAAGTGAAAATTAGAATCACATGAATATCTTTTAATAAAATATTTCAATTTTTGGTGCAAAAATGTTACATGATGCCCCTTTGAATATAATACATTGTATAGCATGTTTATTTGATTTCCTCGGATTCACTCCACAGTACTCAACTTGTTATATTTCAGGTGCGTCAGTTTGTGAAGGCTGTGAATGGGACAGATGTGCTGGAGTTGGGCCACCAGGAAGTCGCCAAGTACATCCTGGCAAACCAAGATGTCTGCAACCTGGTGGTTCTACAACATGGCAGAATGCTGTGATTGGGATGTTTGGTACAACTTCTGCGTAGCATCGCCACCTGTATTACCATGATGGTACTGCAGCATAATGGTGTACTGTGCACTTGTGCCACCAACATTTCGGCATGAATCTGAATCAGTACACTATTTGATTATTACATGATGCTATGTTCTCTGTCAAAGAATTATTGCCAAGCCAGCAAGGTATGTTCAGCATATTGCTATGTGGATCAGATTCCATTACTTCAAACATATGTTAGGATTCTGCTTTCAGTTCACATGTTTTGCTTTTATGTTGCCCCTAGAGTGTGGAAAGGAAATACATGTGTACATGTATTGGCCCTCAGGTGGATAACATGTATACTTTGATGACACCTTTGCTGAAGAATTCAAAGCAAGAGTTGTAAAATGTGCAACAAGCTAGCTAACTCAGGCAAGGGCAGTGTGTGAGGAGATATCCTTTAGAGTTTAGTATTTTTAAACCAATCAGTTTAGGTACATGACTACAATGCACTACTAATTGTACAAGCAATGTTTTAAACCTAGAACAGCAAATATTAGCTAGTAAGAAAAATCCAAAGAGATGAACACACTGCCAACAAGTGATAACTACATATGTAACAGTGGTGTTGGAACTATTCTAGTAATTTTAATTTTTTCAGTAACTACGTAGTAGACTAATATCAATGTCATAATGGAATAGAAATGTGTTCTCAGTCTCTGTATGTTACCTTAATCCATTTGGGTATCATACAGCCATGTGCCAGACTATAGATTAGTTTTTGTCCATAACATACTCTGTAGGTAGTATATGGAGTAATGATATGCACTAAGATTTTATGGTACTCAAATGAAGTATTTTAATGAAAATATGATCAGCAAAGTGCAATTCATATTGTAGCAATAGCGTACGTGCCACCTTACAGCATTGCAAGAATGAAATTAGATTTCAATAAGATAAACAGCTGATGAGGTGCATGTATTTCTAAAATTACAAATACATGTAGTGTATTTGCGGCATAAGAATGTGGAAATGATTGCATGTAATGTGCATTACCTTCTATTACTCCAAGGGTGTGCTCTAGAATCTTTTAGATGTCAAGAATCTTTTTAGAATGTAAACTCAAGGTGAATAATTGAAACATACATTGACAATTGCCACTGCTTCAGTGGACTTGCCACTAATACTATGAAACTGAAATAGACTATACTAATGTTTTGATGAATAACAGTGTTCTGCAATTGTGTTTTAGAGGATCAACAAGCTAGCCAATAAAACAGTCAACAAACTGTGTAGTCATCTGTGGTGTTTGGAGTGATTACTAAGAAGGTGCTAAACCTTGCTCTGCTGGTGGAAGGGCAGAGGGTACTCCATCCATTCAGGCATGTCTGGTGATGATGACGGGTACAGTGTGGCCACAGGAGGCAGCACGGCGTGCCTCTTCAGTTGGGAGTGTTGACTTGAAGGTCCTGTAGCACGGAACCGCGACAGTCTGCCTTCTGCGATGGACAAACCACTGGGAGTGTCTCCGTCCTCTTTGGCTTTCGTTGGAAAGTGGTGACGGAAGGTTTTCTTGGCACCGTCTCTACTCTGGTTGATATCCATGGACAACATGGCGGGCGTGGTTACCATGGCAGCCATCCCCGGGGCGCCCACAGACGACGTTTTCCAGTATTGGTCGTCCTCCAGACTGGCGATGACCATGTTCCGACCAATCAGGACGTCGTCGTCACCCATTGGCTGGAGGAAGACTCCCTCTTCTCGTCGACGCCTGGTCCCGCCCGGGGTGCTGGAGCGGAGCATCCTGATGGGCAGCAGCGGCGTGTACGCTCCGGTACGCTGTCCCCCGGTCAGCCACACCGCCCAGGCCACGTCCTGGTATAGCCCAACCATCTGGTTAAACAGCGCCTGGCGCTCGCCCTCCAGTTCTGCCTTCTTGATCAGCCAGCGGCCGCGGCTGGTCTGCAGCCTCTCCTCCATCCCGGCCAGGAACGCGGACACGTCCTTTCTCAGCTCGCTCGTGGCGGCAGCAGCCTGGCGTTTCAGACGGGCCTTCTCCTCCTGGAACCTACAGTAGGAGATGTACCTGTACGGGGAGACAAGAGCTGGTGTGTCATTCAGGGGCACCAGCCTGGTCAGTGTGTCATTCAGCACCAAGGACAGGGACATCGGCCTTGTTCGTTTCTCATTCAGCACCAAGGACAAGGAAATTAGTCTTGTTTGTGTGTTATTCAGGGACAGGGACATCAGTCTTGTGTCGACATTCGGGGACAGGGACACTTGTCTTGTTACTGTCATTCAGCACCAAGAACAGGGACACAAGAGTCTTGGTGGTGTGATATTCAGTACCAAAGACAGGACAACTTTGCAAATATATTACCGGTAATTTCAGACGTGTCCATTGGTCACATATATTGGTATTTCTATCATATCTTCTATTGTTATTATCGAGCAGTGTTTACCAACTGAGGTTACGTGTGCTATTTTCGTACATTTTTCACCAAGGTTGAGTGAATTTACCTTTCACACAAATGCTTCAGGCGGAGCTCTGGAATCCGTCGTGTCATCCTCATCACATCCACCATCAGGAAACGTATCTCCTTCGGTACATAACGGACAAACAGTCAGTGAATTCAACTTACGATAGTACAATACATTGAACTGTACATTTACATATATGCGATCCATTCTATTGTTGAAGGTGCAGTTACCTCGCTACAGTTTTTGTAGTTTTCGGATATTCTTTGACAGAACTAATTTTTGACAAGGACCTACGGCAACGTTCTCATCAGAAGACTGAAGCTGGATTTTGTACAACACGTCCACGATTCTCCCCAGAATGCCCAAGTTTGTTATCACGGACCCAACTTAAGACAATTATTTTTGGACGCTCACCTCTGCCACAGCGTGATCAGTGAAGAGTTTCTCCACCTCTCTCAGAGCGGCACTCTGCTGGTGTATGTTACGGAATAGGAGCTCCTCTGCCTTGTCTTTATTGAACCAAACACGAGCCTTCATCTCTTTGTTGATATGTTTCTGCTGTTCCAACTAAGTGTCCATGATACAGGGGAAAAAAAGGACAGGTGAATATGCTTTTTTGTTTGTTTTGGTAAAGGTCATTTCTCCAAGTACCTAACCTGTAAGGCTGGTAGATTATAGGATGTTTGAATTTTATTGTTCAGCCATATGATATTCTACTTACAAGCATTTTGATGGCCTGTCTGGGCTACAATAACTGGAGCATAAGCTTCATCTTGTCACTATGTTGTGGTACGACACGAACTTGGTCTGAAACGTGACCGTGCCTGTTCCTCTTCCTCGTACCCTATTACTGCATTGTGGAAGGTAGCTAACGGACTACGTAAATGTTGGCAGGTAAAATGTAATATTGGTATGTGCAAGAACACTTCACATATTTCTTCTCTTGCCTACCTGTTTCTCTAGCTCCTGCCTCACGTCGGTGAGCAGCTGGATCCTGCTGTCCTTCATCTTCAGCTCCTCCTCAAACAGCTGCTGTTTCTTCTGCAGCTGATCCATCAGCGACTCCTGTGCGCTGGCCATGTCCCGGTACCGCCCCAGCAGGGTGTGGTACTTCTCAGCCTGGAACAATGCGGGTCGGCTATTAGTTGTGTAACATTGAGCATCAAAGAACACTGTTGCAGACATGTCGACAGGGTTTGAAGGAATGTCTTGTCAACATTGGATATTGCTGCCTTCGAGGACAAACAACGACGGATAAAGCAACACAGAACCCCTCTATTTATAAAATACAGTTTCCCTTACCCATTGTCAATGCGGGCATTGTACAACTGTGTACCGCTTCAGGCTTGGTTCTTGGCATCAAGATCTAAAGTAATTTTAGATCTTGATCAAGACACACAGTGATATATTCTTTTTTAATAAGGTAATCAATTAATTCCTCAAATATTTCAGCAGTTTCTCCCGGCCATAACTTGCCAGGAAGTTAAAAACAAGGAGATACCCAATAAGGTCCTTTTTTTTACTTTTTCACACCAACTTTATTCTCATAACAAATATTTACATAATCACATTTCTCAATTGTTGAGAGGGACAGCTTTGCTACTCTACACTTAACACCTATTTTACAAGGTTGTATATGCTTCGTTCATTCTTTCTCACCTGACTCATTTTGGACATGGCCATCTCCTTCTCCATGCCCTCTAGCTGATCGCGTGCGAACTTCACCCTGGCCTCCTGCGTCAGCACCTCCCGCTTCAGCTTCTGCGCATGTGCAGCCTGGGCCTCCAGGTCCTTGGTCACCAGGGACTTGTCTGTAGCTGCCTCCTTAATCTTCAGTCTGGGAAAAATGCACCAGTCATTTTGAAAAAAAGAAGTAATAGAAGATTGAAGATATAGTCGAAACTGTACAATGAGAGGGCACTATATGCACTCACACTTTGGCATGCACTTGTGATCTCTTACCCTTCTTGGGAACATAGATTCAGCCAGGCCATGCATGGTCTTTTGAGAATGTTACTTAAGAAACATAGAAACAATTATTTTCTGTCTTGGGTGGCCTTGGTTCTTTTGAACAACTCCAGGCAATCCCTGCTCAGTTACTCCACTCCCGTACCCTTTAAAGTTCTATTTTCTAATCTATCTATCTAGAACTTAGTATGCAGGGTGAGTGAGAGGATATCAGAGTCCCACAGAAAATTGATCTAGGATGAAGCTGTTAAGAAACCACCACGTCACCCTTACCTCTTATTCATCAGCGCCTTGGCCAGCTTGAACTCCAGTGAGACCAGCATCTCCACGGCGTCCTTGGCCAGCTGTGTGATGAGGCTCCGGGTGGACCTCTGGGCGGCCTGGCCCAGCGTCAGGTCCGAGATCTGTCTCACCTCCAGGGCCTGCTCGGGCAGGTCCTCCTTCTGTAGGATCTGGACGATGGCTTCCTTGAACCTGTTTTTATTGAGGAGTTTTAGACTACATAAGTCACTTCAGTGAAAAAATTGGGTGCAAAGTCTAATGGATAACATATTGTACCTTAGGATGCAAGAGGAAATGCATAGTGGTATGCAGAAAATTAACACCATTGTTACACACAAGCAAAAACAATGGTTCCTGTGTGATGGGACCATTGGAACAAACCTGTTGATGGTGTGGACAATATGGCGGCTTTCCCTCTCCACATCTCCCAAGTCCCTGCCCTGCTCCAGCCGAATCTTCCGCAGACCAGCATCAAACCTGAGACACAACATGTTTGTAAAGTTCAAGTGTCAACATTACATAACCTTGTGCGATGAGAAAACCATATACTTTCACTCACATGTGGGAAAACCCACAATTAAACAACTGTTAACATAACAATGAAGTGGTTGACATGGTGACAAGTCTTTACCTTGCTTTTTCCATTTTGATATGAGATTTGAGCTTCCTTAACTCGGCTTCGTACTGTGCTTTAACCCGTGACATCATCTGCTTGGCCGCGGCTGCTGGATTTGTTTTCTTCGGCGCCTGTACGCGAGACTCTCCCCCGGTTTTCCTCGGAGCCACCACTCGTTTGGTCCCGCCAGGCGTAGTCACAACCTCCGTGGGTTCACTGGTGTCAGGCTCAGGCTCCTGGACCTCCTGTTCCTGAACAGAAAGGGGTGCTGCAATTAATGGTCATTTACGTACAGGACCGTTCCATGACTTTACCTGTGTAGGTTGGAAGCAGTTGATCTAGTGTTTAGTAGGACACGTCAGACGGTCTATCTTCTCAGCATGGCTATTTATCAAAGATTCCATCTCCAGTATAAGGCAGACTAGTGGACTCGTGACTAACTCGCAACCGAGCCCCCGAACGCTTTTGATCGGCTCACAAGCATCTCCCGACTACGTCTTCGACTCTTCGTTGACGATTACCGATTGCCTCCGGTCTGATTGCCTAAGTGGACTCCGGACTGATTTACCAACTCTCATCAGACTCGTCATTGTGCAGCACACAAAAGGGACATGTGAGAGTCTCTGTAAAACGTTACTAGTTTTGGACTAGTCCGGTTCGAGACCGGTTAACTTAAACTGATCTGAACTGGTCCGAACTTTGGACTTCTGATGGTCCGGACAGGGGGAAATTGTCCCCGGACCTGGCTACTGACTGCTGCTTCTTTAGTTTAATCCTCCCCCCTCTGACACCTCACCTGCATCTGTAGGAGTTCCTCCTTCATCTGCAGGTCCCTCTTGACGTCAGACAGGTCCTCCTGCAGCCGGGACACCTGCTCCTGCAGGGCCTCGATCTGCAGCTGGTACGCCTCCTCCTTCTGGTCAAACTTCTCCAGGGTGTCCGCCTGAACACCCGCGTTCCTGGGAGAATCAATATTATAACACAAGCCTTATGAAAGTTTAATTATAGGTATTACAGTGTTTAGATATTAAACAGCATAAAGAGTACGCCAAAAAAAACGGTTTAATACTCAAGCAAATTAACGGATATGATTTTGGAAACGGCCAGACGGTAGCATCCAGACGGTCAGACGGTAGTATCTACTACCTTTCGTTAATGAACCCACTACCTTTCGTCAGTGACGCTGGTGAATTCTCAGAAAAGCAGGTTTATAAGCACGAACTATTGATTGATATGCAGATACCCGGTAAGTGAAGACAAATGTTTGAGAGTCCAACTAATTGGACTAATTGCTAATTTTAGTCTTACCACTGACAAAAAAGAATATACAATCAATATCAAATAACAGAACAAATAACAAAACAGAAAATGGGTGCTTCAAAATACACTGTACAAAGACAATAGGTAAAAAAATTAATCAATATGAGAAATTAAATCATTTTTGTAGGCAGTTTTCAATTTTGGCAGACGGATCTTTTGAATACAGGTATGAAATATTTTTCAAAAGAAATTTCAGACGTTGAGTCACTGAGATATTTTATCATGTAATTTCATATCAGTCTAACAAGAGCCACCTGCTGTCTGGCCGTGCAGGAGCGCCCCCTGGCATCCTGCTGGAAATTTCAGCCTGTTCCTTCAGCCTGGCCAGTTCCTGGTCCTTCTGGTCCAGAGCCGCCCTGAGCTGGTCCACGGTCTTCCTCAGCTGCCCGGCCTGCTGGGCCTGCCGGTCCATGAGGAGCAGGGTGGAGGAGGTCGGACCAGACGACTTCTTGGATTCTTCGGCCCGTTTGTTCTCAAGCATGGCCCCCGCCTACATGGCATAAGACCGTAACACACGGGGTATGAAAATTAATGAGGACAGGTGATGTCTCCAAAATGCTGCACACTCAACAAATACGAAAAGAAAACATACGAAAAGGAAATATTCAAATGTCTGGTAAATTCCCTCTTCCTTTGATACTAGCACTTCCTGGCAACACAACCTCACTCATGACAGGGGGCTTCTTTGCGTGAATGCGAAGTTATATATTTCGTTTATATCCATGTAAAAACAATAAATCCACAAATAAATCACAATCAAATTACTATATTCACTATATGTTTTTTCTTCTCTTATGAAAACAATTACGAACGTCTCATTTATTGAGAGATGTGTGTACCTGTTGTTGGCTCTCGAGTTCCGCGGTGAGCCGGGTGTTCTCAGCCTGTGATGCCGCCAGACTTTGCGCCACTTCCTCCGCCTTCGCCTCTGCCTGCTTCGCCCGGACTTCGGTCTCTTTTACCTTCGAACTATCGGAAAAGGTGTGAAGCAAAACAAGATGTTGCCAGTTCTCTCCCTCAGCCTTTCATGTCCTCCATCTCATTTTATGCATCATACTGCCATGTTTGACTGGATGATAGTCTAAACAAATCGTTAGGAAACGAAGAAAAATCCTCCCCACCTAAGTTTTTCGCTTTGCACTTTAAACTGTGTGCATCTTTTCTTGAGACTGCTGTAGTCCTCCGTCATGCGGTCCTTGGTGTTGCTCAGCCTGTCGATGTCTGCCTTCAGGTCGATAATCTGAGAGTCTCTGTCCCTCAGCTCATCCGCCCTGCGTTCAACTGGAGGAAGTACAGTCATAGGCGTGTTCTTATTTTTGTATTACTTGTTTGAACCACTTACGCCGGATCATTTGTCACGTTGGCAAATCAATGTATTCCCACCACCATGGCCAAACGAAATGACAATTTCCTTTTGTAGTGGTGTTTCAGAGAAGCAACGTTAGATCCCCTGTATTGTCCCCTGTGTTGGTGGTGGCATTATATAAGTTTAAAAAACTTGAGTGTGCCGTCACCACGTCTTGTGATTACATGTTGGAAATAATAATAATGATAAAAAAAA